GCCTTAAATAGTAAAACCACCAGGAGGACTCAAATGGTTTGCAGCTGTGTCAATTGCTGATCCAATTAGTGACAGATGCTTCAGTATGTATGGATCACTTGGGTTGTTACCAACATCTGGTGAAAATTTCATGTCATTAGCACCTCTAGTAATATATTTACTGAGAAAAATGGTGACGTGTTCAGTACTTATTTTACCCGCTGTATGTGGGGGGTTGTAGCTGCAAAGAGGTCAAAAACATGGAAGTAAACTGTGACAGTTTTACCTACAGTTATCATGGAATTTGTAATTTAATCATGACCAGAAGCAAACTTAGCATCATGACGACAGATCGAGTCAACCTCTGATTACAACTCTTAACTTTATTTATTTATGCAGCCGACAGTTCTCAGGAATGATCAAAAGTAGAAAAAATTAAGACTTGACAAAATTAAATTTAAGAACTTGGATGAAAATCTGGGCGTTTTTAAGACTTTTTTAGGCTTAAAATTTTGGTTTTCAAATTTTAGATATTTTTTAGACTTTTTAAGACCTGGCATGAACCCTGAAAAAGTTAAAAATGTTCTGTGTGCAGGTGTCAAAGTACAGTTTTAGTGCACTAAAATTACAGGAACTAAATTGAGAAATTGACCTTTTTTTTTAGAAAATGTTTGTCATGCAGTTGTTTCGAACATGTATATAATTAAACTGACAGAACTGCGAGCCTTTGCAAGTCACCTGATGACTCCTGCGAATGCTTTAAGATATTTTAGAGACGTCCTTCCAAAAGCCAAACACCAAAAAGTCTCAGCCCAGTGAAAAACTGGCTTCAGGTGTGACGGCTGTTTTAACTGAATTAAAACATGATACTTAGAACAATCTACAACAACAACAAAAGAAAGTTAGTCATTGTTTTCTTTATTTCATGTTAGAGCTGATGCAGACAGGCTGGAAGTGTAGAACTAAGAAGCAGTGCAAAGCCACACGTGTAGCTGTCCATTTATTCAACACACTGCGGTTAGTTTTCCTGCCAAACGCAGAGCAGGGTCCCGCAGAGCAAACCTCATACCTGCAGGTGTTTCACAGAGCTTCTCAAAGGTTGGCAGCTTGGCTATAAACTCATCATCCTCTTTACACCACATTAAAGGCAGGAAGGAAGACATACAGAAACCCAGAGAGCACAATGTGAGGAGAAGTGATGCTGAACGGGTTTGTACATGAGTTACAGTAAGTGCAGCTCTGATGAGAGGAACAACAGGCTCTACAACTGACCAACTGTTGTTTCTCTGTGATTCACTTCAGAAATATTTGCATTAAAGGAGCCAGACTTTGTTCTGAAAACTTTATGAAGGGTTTTCATAACCTTTCTTTGAACTTTGGCTGCTTTTTTACTCAGTTTGGGTTCGAGAAATGTTGTGTGTTCACACAAAAAAGAAAACTTAGCAAATAATCAACTTTATATTAGGCCACTTTGTTTAAGCTGGCAGGAAAAACTATTTTTATATCAGCAGAGTTGTAAAGTAACTAAGTTAAAATACTTTGTTACTGTACTTAAGTAGAATTTTTGAGTATCTGTACTTTACTTTATTTTTCAGCCTACTTTTTACTTCTACTTCTTACATTTTCACACAGTTATCTGTACTTTCTACTCATTACGTTTTTTTAAATGCAAGAAGTAGGAAGTTTTACTTTTATTTAATATTTGCTTGTTTTCATTCCAGCTTTTTATTATAAAAAATAAAAACTATCCATATAAACTGAGCCTCCTAGATAYAGTGAATTTAACTGTGGTTGAATGAGAAGTATAAATATATAAAACTCTGATAGTGTATTAGTTTGTACACAAACAAATCATGTCACACTCCAGCAGGACAGAATCATTCAAATAAAAGGACTGTACTTAAGAAGTATTTGTATTTCATGAATTATATTCTTACATTTGGCCGCAGCCCTCAGATAGATTTTCATTTTGGGGAAAAGCTTTGTGCAGCCTTGATATATGTATATAAACTGAAACAGCTGGACTAGTGCATCCTAAATTTAACATCCATTCATTATTTTAATAAAATAGTCATTTCTGCAGTTTTTGGGGAGGTCACCTCCTAATAAATGTCCTTACAGAAAACCTAACAGCTCATTTTAAATCAATACTTTTACTTTTAATACTTAAGTACAAAAATATCAGATACTTTAAGACTTTTACTCAAGTAATATTCCTGAAGGAGACTTTAACTTTTACCAAAGTAATATTTTTGTAAGATACTTGTACTTTTACTCAAGCATCACTTTGTGGTACTTTATACAACACTGTATATCAGCAAAGTGTTTCCCAAACTAAAAGAACGTGTCCCACAAAGGCCTGTCTGTTTGCTGGGAAAGTTTAAAAAGATAGTTAAAACTTTCACACAGTGATGCTCATAACATGAGTGAAACCTTCAGGGACGGCTGTGGACGACGGAGTCTCTTTGTGAAACATGTTTACAGAGCCAGACTCACTTTGGTTTAGAAGAGAAGGACAGAAGGTGAGGAGCTCTCGCTCTAAGGAGGAGAGGGGGGAAACAAAAGGGTGTTCAGCTCCTGTAAGGAGACGAATGAAAGAAAGAAGGGAGGGAGGGGAGAAGGAAGTGGAAAACCCAGCAGGTTGTGATGCGTAAACAAAGGTATGTGACAGGTTGTTGGGGGGGGTTGAGGAAGAGAAAGATAAAAATCGTAAGAGAAAACATGTTCGTACCAACTGTGGGGGTGTTCCCAGCACTGAGGGAGGCGTTGGAGGACAGAGAGGAGGAACTCTCTGCACGAGCGAGAGGAGCCGTTGGAGGAGGGCTGGCGTTCGATGATTTGGGTGGACTGAACAGCCGTCCCTGAGTTAGAGAGTTCAAACAACGCAAAGGTTAAACATTACTTAACAACTATCAGTTCAGGGTGACACAAAGACTGAAGGACAACAGCCGCAGCCCTGTGAGATTCTGGTTTAAGTCCTCGGACTGGAAAAGGACACTAGTTGGTCACTCGGACCTGACCCAGTACGGCACAAGAAAATATATTTTTAGTTTCTGTCTCACAGAGTCCTGAATGTTTATGATCATGTGATCAGTCAGCCGTGCAAATTTGTTTTTAAATCAAATTCAAGCTGAGCCTCAACCAGGGGCGGATCTGGGATTTTTCTGAGTAAGGGGCCATCAAGGGGGCCACAATATTCATAGAGGGGCCAAGTCTTTGTTCAACATCCTTTCACACAAATTTCGTGTATACATTTTACACTTCAAACATTTCTAATGTAATTTTAAAAAAAAAGGTACCACTTTACAATGAGGCCCCCCCTTATTGATGGCTTTTAAAGAGTTTATAGATAAGTTATTAATTAATCTGTAAACACTTTAAAAATTATTAATAAGTGTTTATTATGCAATAATTAAGGACAAGAAAGAGACAATTGTCCAGTTTCATTTATTAATGATTGATGAAGTGTAAACTTTACAAATGAATTAATAACCTATCTATAAACTCTTTATGAGCCATCTATAAGTGGAGCCTTGTTGTAAAGTGGTACCAACAATCTTGCACAGTAAATTCTCCTCACCAGATTTTCATACATTTTACTGTACATAGATAAAATATTTTCAAACACACAACATGTGAGAAAATCCAGCCATCATTTGTCAGCTGAAAGACTTTTTTACAGGATTGTTCACATTTTAAGAAGAGAAGAATTCTGTCAGCTTGATTCATTCTGGACTTTAACATTTGACTCATGAGCACAACTAGTGTTTGAACATGAAACTGCAGCCACCATCATCACCCCCAGGTAAAGGACAGATGAGTGACAGGACAGGGGCACTTCAGGGGGCCAATCAGATTTCAGCTGGGGCCAATGCCCCTGTGGCCCCGCCCCTAGAACCGCCCCTGGCCTCCACAAGTCATCCAGCAGGTGCAGCTCGATGATTTACTGCTTTAAACCTCAACTCCCTGTTGAAGCAAGTCTAAACTATTGCAATATTAACTAAAATAAAACATTTTCTAAATTTAAAAACATTACATGTGTGTGGAAATTTGGGGAAATTCCGATCAAACCAATACAAAACCTATTTATACGCTTCAGAAGAAAGCTATACGAATTATAAATTCATTAGATTATTTTCATCCAACAAATGACATTTTTATCACATTTGATACTTTAAAATTTTATGATTTAGTATAACTTAGAACAGCACTGACAATGTACTAAAGTCCTTCCACATTATACAGAAGTGGTTCGAAAATAAAGAAACAAATTATGAATTCAGAAAGACTTATTTAGAAAAACAAAGGTTAGGACAAATGTTAAAAATAATTGTACCCTTGTTAGACGGATTTGTGTTTGGAATAATTGTTGCGAAGAGTTAAAACTGTGTTCTTCACTAACTAAATTTAAAATAATGTATAAAAATTATTTGTTACAGAAATATACTAAGTTTTGACTGATTGTTTGCAGCTGCTAGAGTTTTGTTACAAATTTGTTTAGAATTTCATTGGAAATTTTATTTTATAAAATCTATAAGYATGATGTTGATTTGATTTTGATAATATATGAATAAAAAGTGAAGGTATAAAAAGTTTAGGCTTCCACCTACACTTTTTTCAGTCTATGCCTTCGTTTTTTTGACACTGACAGGAATTTAAAAATTGTGTATTATTTTATTTCTGTATTTTTTTTCCTGTTGTTGTTCAGATGGACTGGTTTTGGTGATTTTTTTTAACATTTAAACAATAAAACAATAAATAAAATACTGAGTTATTATGAAAAAGATAAAATAAATTACTCAAACTGATACTAACAAAGCTTTGAGCTGACAGTGAAGCATGTTTCATGTTTCTTCCTTGTTTAATTAAGAACACACTCTGAGGTGGCTACTAGCTAGTAAAATCAACTGGAAAATACTTTTGGACCGATTTCTTATATTTACAAAAATTAGAATCAAAAGTTTCTAAAATAAAATTTTAAGTCTAAATCATTTGAAATTGGTCATAACGAAAGACTGAGTTGAAATTTCCTGAATCCTATCAGCAAATGTAGGAAAAAAATGAGAAACACCGAACAGGAGAAATCATTTTCAGCTATCAATAGGGCAGTAAGGTGCTGTAACTTAAAAATACGTCATTTTTGAGTGTCATCCACAACCTTCACACAGAAATAATCCAGTATTGATACAATTACTCACCATCTCATTGATCCCTGTGAGTTTCCCAGTGGGGATTTTGGGCCTGGAGGAGGGTCGAGGAGGAGGAGGAGCCAGGGCTCCGGCTGTCAGAGGGGTCGTCGGCCGGTTTGGAACTGGCACTACATCAAGAAGCACACGAGGGTCCTACTGGTTACTGATGGTTCAGAGTCGCAGAAATGGATTCCAAACAAGTAGGTGCAAAAACTCAAACTGGATGCAAAACCTTCATGCAACGTTTTAAAGCAAAAGATTAAATGTTAAGATCCAAACAAGACAAAATAACAAAACACATTTCTACACAACAAACCAAAACCACAAATTACTGTAAATTAGAGCAGATGGACGAGCATTAGTCAAACAAATCTAGAGAAAACAAAACTGAAAATAACTTTATTATGAAATAAAATAACTTTAAATTAGAGAATACAGTTACAGAAAAAAAAAACTCCAAATGTTGGGTAAACACGTCTCTGAAGCCATTCTTTTTGTTACCATTGTGTATTTTGTTTGACGGGGCTGCAGCTCTATCACAGAAGATGTCAGAGACACACAGGCTGCCGTCCTCTCTGCTGCACACGTCTGCAGAGTCATCCGACAGGAAGCGACTGGACCTGCAGGCACCTGGCCGGAACCTCTGCAGCTCCATCACAGGTGGGCCGCGACGGCACCACGTGCTCTCACCGAAAACCGTCCACTGGTTCTGGGACCGGGACGAGGAGGAGGAGCTGTCTGCGCTTTCAGGAGGACCGACGGCAGCGGGGCTCCTGATAGGGTCAACGGGCTCAGAGGGCTGGGTGAGGGGGGCACTCTGGGCTCTGGACAGGGCAGGTGTGAGGACTTGGAAAGGAGCTTCTGGTGAATCCCAGGGAGAGGATGTGGATGAGGAGAAGGAGGAGACGTCCTTGGGTTGTTGGAGCTCTGCCAAAGGAGTAGAGCGACCCTTTGGTAGCACCGAGTCGACTGAAGGAGGAAATGTGATCAACAGAGGCCATAAAAAGAATACAAGACAGAATAGAAACCATCAATAATTACATTTGTGAAGCACCAGCTTATTATCACTCGCTGCTAAAGGTGACAGGGCGATGATGTCGTTGTAAATTTTAACAAAACTCTCAGAATGTGATCACTGGATGTAGAGCTACAACTGATATTAGAAACACTTGATTTTCCATTTAAAATTGATGGTGTTGAGATTAGTAGAGTCAGTGAGATAAAGTTTTTAGGCATTTTCATTGATTTAAGGGCTGACATGGAGAGCTCATGTAAATTACTTAAGAACAAAAAATAGCTAAATCTGTTGGAGTAATGTATAAAGTAAGGGAGTTATTCAATGATAAAGCTCTGTTTATATTATATAACACAATAATTGTTCCTCACTTGATTTACTGTGTTGAAGTCTGGGGTAAAGCATGTAAAACTATCATAAATCCTATTTTTATTTTACAGAAAAGAGC